TTAATAAAAGAAAATAATGATTTCTTCTCACAAACTAATTAGTTTATAAATAAAACAATATGTTCTTTTATTTTCTTATTAATAATGTTATTGTTATTAATACTATAATTTTCTTAATATTATTCTAAATACATATTAACTATTAGTTTTTATGTAGTATCAGAAGATGAGCTGAAACATGACGTTGTGTATTTTCGACAAACTTTTTATATTGTGGTTCATATGTACTTATAACTATTCGTAAACCTGCTGCCAAATAGTCATCTGTCAAACGGGAGCGATGTTTTCTTTTGATTGCATTCATAGCAGAAAATATTATTTGTCAGAGATAAATAGAACCAGAAAAGTTGTTAAATATGCTGCACATCTATATAACGTGGATATTTTTCTTCATAAAGTAAATTCCAATAATTTTTTGGAAAGATAGCTCTTGATTTTAACACTATGACGTCCGGCGACACCACATTGGTGTCATGCACAAAGCATAGTTCTACGCCCGGCGACATGCAGTTAGAATACGGCCGGGCGTACGCGAAGTAATCCGAAGTAGCACTGCCGGCGCCAAGCGAAGAAATTTTTTCGAAACGCCTGGACGTCAAAGTGTTAAAAATATATCGCATTTTAAGTCAAGGATTTTATTCTCAACTAGTATTTGGTCCACAGGCATCAGAGAAGTGTATATGTTATAGGGAAAGTGGGACCTGCAAGGATTGTGAGCTTTTCCTAGGCATTGCCCACAATACTAAGCGTTTTTTGGCAACGTAGGAAACAGAAGAATTGTTATCTTATCTGGCAACAGACACACAACACACACAACATAGTATAGTATAGCGCATAGTATAACGGCACGCACGCACAGTCTCAAAAACCCGCTCCATGCTCGCTTTTGTGTGTGTGTGGGGAGGGAGGAGGTGTATATGCGCCTATTGCCCGATAATGTATTCTCTTCAATATCGCCTAAATAGCATTTAGTGTTCTATAGAATGTCTAAGTATTAAGTTCAATGCTTAGGAAAAGCCCGTCACAATTCTTCTGTTTCTTACGTTGCCAAAAACTGTTTGGCATTGTGGGCAATACCTAGGCTAAAAAGCTCACAATTCCTGCAGGTCCCACTTTCCCTATAACATATATATATATATATTAGACAGGCGGGTGATAGGAATAGTTATGCGGTTGATGCTTTGGCCACCCTGTTCTATAAAATACCCTGGTAAATCTATGAATTGACCGTAACATAAATAATGCTCAAAAGGTTTCAGTCAATCTAGGATCTAGGATCTATCTGCTCAGGCATTCGACATCAAAATTTATCCATAGAATGAAAAGGATTTTTAAAACTTAAAACCCAACACATGTTGGATGATTAACATAATAGATAAATCTTGGCTAAATGAAATATAGTAATTTTGATTATTACTTTTTTTTTTACAAGTTTAAGGAACTTACCGTCTTCCTACAGTCAACAGAACACAATGTTCCGATGGTCATAAATGTTCCTAATATTTTGTACTGATAATTAAAAATACATAAACGCAGTACCCTTTGCCTGAGGTGGCCATACTTATGTAAGAAAAAGATATCACAAGTAAAATTTAGTAAACCTTTAACAGCATTCGTTTAAGTATTTATTATCTCCGACTATTGTTGACATAGCAGATTCTCGAATATTAACTGCACAGTTGTAAATCCAAAAATAGAGAATATATACTTTTTTTAAATTATGGCCTCATTTAAATAAAAGTTCATCTCATTTTAAAGACAAAATATTTAATTTATTTAGTATTTCTCTCGTCCAAAATTACAATTTTTAATGATAAAATTTTTTCACAGGGAACTTGGACATTAAAAGAAGTAGAACTTTAGATTGATTGAGTT